GCATGACAAAATATGCCCAAATAACCACTGAAATACAGCCAATCCATGCAAAAATGATGAGCTCCTTTAGAGGGCCATACAAGGGGTTATTAAGCACATACAAGATAGACATGTAACATGGAAAAACCACCTCTGGAAATGAGTTATGACATCCCTAAAACCCACCAAATAGGCCCTGAAATCAGTCTCGGAAAAATGCAAAGAAAGGCCCCTTTGAAAGGCCTTGAATGGGATTGCTCTATACATGCATCATAGACATAAAATATGGCAAAATGGGCTCTTGACAGAGCTTAGGAAGACCTTAAAAACCTCAAAATGAGGCCTGAAACATGACTTCAATGCATGAAAAATAGGGTCCCTTTGGAAGGCCAACCATGCTAGTAAAGAGAATGAGGGGTGAGAGGATCACTCCTCTATGATTTTGGGGCTCAAAGACACATCAAGGCCACTGAAAATCCACTGGATTTCAGTGGCTAAGAGGCCAAACCAAGGCCAATGCAAATACTCACATGCATAGCTCAAAGCAGGAGAAAGAAGGCTGTCAAGAAGAAAATGACCTCCAAACAATAAGTGACCTCAATCAACTTTAAAGAGGAGGTTTCAAACAAAGCTTTTTCAGTTTAGTCGAGTCCAAAAATGCACAAATAAGGCTAATATATCATGCAAAATATCCTTAAAAGAGAGATAAAAGCATACAAGGGTAGGAGACTCAAACAGAAAACGTAATCTAAACACATGAAGAGGAGCTCAAAATAAGACTATTTTCAGTTTACACCAAGGCTCGAAATGATTCACATATGGAGCTAAGGTATAGAGAAAAGTAATGCAAAAATGGGAGAAATGAGGACTTACCCTTGTATCACCAATGCAGCCAATCCTGGACCAAGAACTGAGCTTGAACCTCTAAAAATGAGTTCCAAGTGCTGGAATGGATGGTGGAGGTGTTAGCTTAGAGTTGTAGTGTAAATGGCAAGAAAAAGGGTGTTTGAGCTTTGGAATGGGAGTTATGGAGGGAGTATGCAATGCTCCAGCCAAACTTTCTAACGCTGCAAAATGGAGTTGAGAACTTGTCTTATAGAAGACAAAGGGCATGGCTTTTAGGAAGCCTATGTAAGGGGGGGTGGCATAGTTCTAAAAGGAAGCTTAGCCAAAGGGTCAAAACTTCCTTCCCAAATAAGCAAAGGACAAAGCTTTCTAAAAGAGAAACAAGGCTAATCTCGGACTGTAGGGTCAACTGGAACCAGTTGGCACAGCTGGAACCCACACGAGAGACAAAACAGAGGGCAGCTGCCGAACCAGTCATGTGTGGCGACAGGTCAAGGTTCAAGCCCCAAAGCTGGTCTTCCATGAAGCCCCAGAAGGTAGCTTTCCAATGCCGCAAACCTTGCATTAAAATTCCTCCTGTGCAAAAAGTTATGCCAGTTTTGGTGAAGCCGCGCAGATTCGGTCCAACCGGACTTCAACCAACCATATCTCCCCCACCTGGATTTGTCCTTAGGAGATTCTTGAGTGAAAAATGAATCCCCGGAAGTAATATTTCCAATGGTGGTGGTCTAATATCTTAATTCCTCCTTTGCAAAGAGTTATGCCCGTTTCGGTGAAGCCGCGCAGATGTTTTCTCTCCTTCCCGGATTCATGTTGAACCACTTTTGACCAAAAAATCTGGTCGGCCATCTGATTTTATGGTTTTCCATGTGGCCACATTGAAGCCCCAAAATTTAGCTTTCCAATGGCACCAACCTTGCATCAAAATTCCTCCTGTGTAAAGAGTTATGCCCGTTTCGGTGGAGTCGCGCAATTTCGGTCCTCCCTGGATTCATGCCGAACCTCTCCCAAACTAGTTTTCGTCTCTCTTCTCCTCTTTTCTTCAACTCCAAACCCCTAGACAAGGTGTTTTGAAATATTTTTCAAAGATTTCATCTCTCTTTCATTCATTTCCACTTTGTCCTTGCTCGGTTTACCGAAAAGCGCAACATTTGACAAAATGCGAGCCTCGGAACATCGTAAAAACTTTATTTCAAAAATGTTTTGAAAGAGAGGGTTTTAAGGTCTAAAATCTTTTGATCAAGATTGTTTTGGTCCAAAAAGGGATATGAAGTTGAGATTTAACTCTCTCATTGCCGAAGAAACTGAACCTTTCCCCTGCACACCTTTCTCCACCATGTAAACCATCAGTCGCGTCCAAGTCTTAAGGGCGGTCAAAAATGGGGTGTCTACACCCGACAATCCAACTATGGCTCAAATAAAAAATCACAATGAGATGAGGCAAAGGAAATCAAAGGCAAAAGCTAGCTTATTTGCAGCTGTTTCATATTCAATTTTCACCAGAATCATGACACTAAAGACAACAAATGGAATTTGGGACTTCCCGAAGAAAGAGTATGAAGGAAATGAACGAGTCAAAGACATGCAAGTTCTGAATTTGATCAGAGAATTTGAGATGCAAAGAATGAAGGAATTAGAAACAATCAAGGATTACTTTGATAGACTCCTTGACATT